CTTAACAGGGGGATGACTTTCATTTCCCCCAGCTCTGACCGCAAATTGGAGAATCCTTGGATCCACTCAGACACCCCTGAACTATGCCCTCACCGTGCTCAGAACCGACGAGATTAATATAATAACGTGTCACAAAAACTATCCAAGGGAATATTTGTCAGCAAGGTCTCTTTGAATTTACTGGTGAAGCAGACTGGTCCAAGCTGTGGTTTCTGCAAGATTTAGTATGAATACAGAAGACTGCAATCTCCTAGCTGGTGGCAAATAAAGCGTTTTACATTTTTTCCTGCATCTAACATTTGTAGTCTATATTTAGGCTGTTCGTTGTGTAAAGCTATTTAAACAGTTTGTAGCCTTAATCCAAAACTGTCACTACAGATATTTCTGGTGACTATGAAGAAAACAAAAAAGCCAGAAGAAGCACCTGAAAAGCTGCAAAGCCATATCAGTAAAACTCAAGCAATTTAATGGTGTTTATACTCTACTCACACCCATTATAAAATGTTCTATTAATACCCTAAGGAAAAATACCACTGTATACACAGGACCAACTATTTGTGTAAAACTATTACAAGCTGTATTTTACCAGCCTGCAAAAGCCAGCTTCTGCACACCAGCAGAGAAAAAAAGAGTCATTTTGATCTTTACAATACCAGTGAGAAATGAGGCCAAACTCCCCCCGCTCAACAGTTTTGACCTTCTGAAGCAGTGGTGAAACTAGACCCCCTCTCCCTCAAGCCAGTTTCATGTGAGCAGCTCTTTCCAATTCCTAAACGTTGCGGAAAGAACAACGTGTTTTTGAAAACGGAAAAGAAAAAACACCCCTTAAACACACATGACCTGGAGAAAATGCTCCAAACAGAGTGGGCGCATGAATGTTCTTTTACAACACTTTGTGAATAACCACAATGACAGGATATATCTCCTTTTCAAGATCACACATATGCGCTTTTCTTCTCCTTAGATAACAAGTTTGGGGTTATGTCTCAAAATTTAAAAAAACATGATAAAGTTACAATGGAGAGTGAGAAAAAACAAGACAGGCCCACGCCTAAAACGGAAACACAAAAGCTCTTTGTCTCAATTAAGGGTGAGAGTCCAAAGAACAAGACGTAGGGAAGCCACAGCTGACAAAGCAGCACAAAAAGCTACAAGCCTCAAAAATTTGACTGCACCGAAGTTGACACATCTGGAAGAAGAGAATTTTAGGTACCTTACGTCAGAAAAATGTGATCACGGCACAGACTCTGATCTGGAGCTTTCTGCACCAGTGGGGTTGAATTTCCCAGGCCTGCAGGCCTGATCCCATTCACAGGGTGCAATTGAGCATGCAATCGGAGGACCGTGCCAAATCTGGCTGTGCACCAACCCAATTCTGATTAGCTGCAGAGTTGTGATTCAGCATGCCAGCTCCACCACATGCTGGCACAATCCAGTGCACAGGGCCAAATCATCCCTGTTGCGGGGCTCCCTCCAGGTCCGGAAATTTTGTAGCAGGTATACAGCAATTAACACTGCCACCGCTTCCCCACTGCCAAATTTCTAGACCCATGGGGAGACCTGTGGATGGGCTGGATGACATGGCCTCATCATGAGCTAGAGGCTGAGCACCACTCCTTTAGACTATTCTCTAGAGCCACTGGGGGTGAGACAAGGAGCAATGCAGAGGAATATTTAGATTGTTGACCAGAATGAATTTTCTGACTCTGAGGGTAGGCAAGCGTTGAAATGGGGTACGTGGAGAGGTTGTGGAACCCCCATCCCATTTTTAAGAGTAGATTGGACAGACACATGTCTGGGATGCTTTACTTAGGGATGATCCTGCCTTGAGGAGGCAGCTACACCAGATGTTTTCTTGAGGTTCCTTCCAACCCTGCTTTCCTATGAGCCTATGAAAAAAGCCAAGCCAAAGTAGTCATGTTAGTTACTTCAGCTAGAACCACGTGGGTTCTTTGAGCCACGAAGTCGCACACATCAAACACATATGCCATCCACACATCCATCCCACAGAACAACACTTTCATGCACTGCAGATACCAAAATCTGGTGTCTGATAAACATCCTGCTCTGCAGCAAGGGAGCACCTGTGAATGAGCAGCTAATTGCTTAATTGACAAGTCATTAGGCTGCTCCTGTTTTCTTCCTAAGCTATGGGCACTAGTCTCCTTCATCCCTCTCTCCTACCCGTCCCTTCCTCCTGCCTGCCCTGCTGCCTTCCAATTCCTCCTGGGCCATGGCATGGCTTCCCTTCCCCCCTTCCCTGCTAGACTGTGCTGGCCACGAATTAAAGGATAACCACTAAGCTAACCGGTTATCAATGCACTTATCTGTTAAACAATTCATAATTTAACCCTTCACATCCCTAATCCCTACCCTACTCTATGCATGTGGACAGCTCCCCGCCATCCCTCGGGTGCACCAAGCCACAGGCTCCTCCAGTGCTGTGGGCTGTCACCCCACCTTTGAGGTAGAAGCAAGAAGTGAAAGTTGACGGGAAGGAGGCCAACAGTAGCTGGACAGAAAAGTGTGGGCAGCTGGGTGGAAGTCCAGGTCCTGAACATTAACCCTTAGTGGGTTACATGCAGCGCCTAGACTGCCAGTTGGACAGGCCTGGCAAAGGCAAGCAGTCAGGTGGTAGCCCTAGATTTTAGGAGGGCGAACTTCAACGAGCTAAGAAGGATAGTTGGAGAAGCGCTGAAGACTTGGAGGGGAGGGGAGCCGGGTGTCCAAGGGGAGTGGTCGCTCCTTAAGGAGACGATCCTCCAAGCCCAGAGGAAGGTAATCCCCAGGAGGGTCAAAGGGGGCAGGAGAGCATATAAGCCTCCATGGCTCACTAAAAACATCCGGGAATGTCT